GGTAGGCTGGGCAGGTGGCTGTGGCTGCGTTTACTTAGCACACTAAAAGGGGAAGTCTGGCCTCTTTCCTGAATTTATAAATTTATAAACTCCCTGGATTTATCACAGGGAGGTCGTAGTTGACCCAGAGCCAAGGAGTGAGTGGGATGAGTCAGTGGGCTTGGGTAGCAGGGAGGCCTGTTGAATGGGTAAGTTAGATGGTTGCCTCACTTCGGTTAGACATTGTCATGAGCCACGAGGCCAGCTGGGAACTGGAGAGAGCTGCGGGTTATTAGGCCAAGCTCTCCTCTGTGTGGAAATGTGGAAAGATGTTTTGAGATTCTAATTGAAGGTAAAGGCAGGAGAGGGGAGGGGTGTTGAGAAAAGCAACTAACTCTTTCCCCCGGGTTTGGCAGCTGGAATCAATCAAGGCAGAAATCAGGAAAGGCTGAGAGTTAGTCCTGGGGCAGCTTTTCTGGGGACAGAAAGGAAAAGGTTTCTTCGAAGACAAAGCAAAGCTAACATCTAGTTAATAAGTTGGTAACTGATGAATTTAGTGGCAAAGGTATAAACCTCTATATTTGTTGTGAATATAAGGATTTCACATTATAAGGAGAAATTAGAGATTTATCATTGATCTGTTGTTATTTTCATAAAGACTTATCTTTTACAGGAAAACGAATACAGTGGACTGTGTGCTGTACACCCGCTTGTCCAGGCTACTCATGTCAGAAGACGCCTCATGTGCCCAGGCACCAGTTCCCACTGGGGGGAACCCTTTGCTGGTGTGGGGTCCGGGCAGCCTTAATCGGCTTCTCTGGGCTTGGGCTCAATCACCACTAGGAACACACTGAGTTTGGAGACTGATTCGAAGGGACTTCCCCTTGACACGAAGAGTGGCTGAGAAGCTGCACCTACGGTTTGCAGCCAGAGGCTGAAGAGGTCTGCGTTTGAAGCAGCCAGAGCCCCCATGAGAAGTCTTCCAGCCTGAGGTATGCCCAATAGGACAGCTTTGGAGGGGACCTGGGCTCTGGGGGAACTATGTTGAACCAGAAGCTTTCAGGGCTTTACCCTGATGGGGTAGCCTGCCTTTGGGCCACAGATAACCTTGGCCTTGGGCTCAACCCTCTGAGGAGGAAAGGAAATCTGACGGTAAGGCTTGCTTTGTTCAGCACAGGGGGAGTGGTTTTGAGGAACTAAGTGGAGGCAAGATACCAGCTTGGGTCTCCCATTTGGTGGGGCCTGAGTATTCCCCAGGCATGGAGGAAACGTGTTCCTTCGTACAAATTCCAGAGGCCTTCTTTGCTCAGGCAATACAAGAACCAGCTTCCTCTTGGAGCCCCATAGTCAGAATGTAGGTGATGTTCCTTCTAAAGGTTCACCGTTTTACTCTTTAAACACACAGCACCAGCCCAGATCATAGCACGTATCTTTCTTCTGCCTTTCGCAACAAGACATTATTTTGCTTAAGATTTGTGAGCGGAACGCTTACCTGTAGGGTCAAAGATGTGTGTCTGTCTTGGTATATTTTCCGTGGGTTTTGGCTCCTTGTTTGGGTTTCTCTCAAACAGATTTCTTGATTTGGGTGCTGCATTCTGTGACATCTTGTCCTCCCCACTGACTGGAAGAGAGAAGGCCCCAGGGGCTGAGTTAGGTGAGGCTCATTACTAGGGAGAGAAATGAATCCACACCAGGGAAGGTGGGAGAGGTAGGCTTAGGTTAGGGAGGGGTAGCAAGGCCGGGGTTCGGCAGGGTTGGGGGACAGACTGCCAGGGACAGGGTGAACTCACTGGTGAGGTAGCAGTCCAGGCTGATGGAGATGTTGTCGAAAGCCACGGTGGCTCTGGATCCTTGCCCCCACCATGCGACCATCTGCAGCCAGAACCTGTATGTGTCAGGAGGAATGTGTGTGAGGAACAAATGGGCTTAGTCATGTCTTAGCATTAGGCAGCCAGCACACGTGTGCGGATCCCCTGGCTCAGAATGTCAGTTTTCATCAGTATTACCCAGCCCCGGAGCAGTGCGAGAGGACAGCAGTCAACACCTCCCCTACCTCTGCAATGCAGAGCTCTTCCCCTTCCGAAGTGGTGCTCCCTGATGTCAATGGCTGACCCCTGGCCCCTAAATCCAGTGTGGAGTTTGGGGCCTGGGACAGGACTTCCTGATAACCCAGGGAGAGCACCTTTGCTTTCTGGATGTGTAGGGTGTTTGGAAATGGGTAGCTTGATAGCTGGGGCTCCCCGGGGGGGCTGAAGTCATTATGAAAATATTGAAATGTTCCTGTACCAATTGAAAAAGAAGCACTGTCCCCTGAGCACTCCCTGCCTGTTGCTTCAGGCGATCTGGCTCCTTCCCTGGTGCCCCCTGAATTTCCCAATTAGCCAGCAACCAAAGGGTGAATCCTTTGGTTAGCACAGCTGGGTCTTGTCCGGCATCACGTGAGGTTGCCCAACTGGTTGTGAAATATTAAGTGATTTGATTATCACCCCTGGGAGTGTGTGTACACAGAGGGTAAGGGTCATAAAATATCCATCGAAATATTGTTTCTTTCCAGCTCTTTCATAGCCTTGGAGGTCCAGGTCCTCAGACTACGGCCAGGGAAGGCTTCACGGTGAGAGAAACAGAAAAATACCTTTGGTTTTGTGTGTTTCCTGGGAAATCATCTCCCTGGAAGGCTATCAGTCAACCAGCCCTTTCCTGGCGTAAAGTGAGGGTTTCTTGAGAACCTTCAAAACCATCCCCACCCTCCAGATAGTCAGGCCAGAATGACCTGCGGAACAGTGTGCAGTCTCTGGCATGGCTGTTAAAATGTTGGGAGAGGGAAGCCATGCCTGTCCGTTGGTGGCTGGATAAAACCCGTATGGTGTAGCCATATAATGGGATGCTACTCTGCAATAAACAAGAATAACTGTAAGAGGGATAGACCTCAAAAACATTATGCTAAGTTAAAGAGGCCAGACAGTAAGTTAAAGATCTCATATTAAATGAATCTGTTGATAGGAAACATCTAGAACAGGCAAACCTATGGAGACAGAAAGCAGATTGGTGGTTGCTTGGGGCTGGGAGTGGGAACAGGATTGACTGCAAACTTGCACAAGGGCTCTTTTTCGGGTGATGAAAATGTTCTCAAACTGGATTGCGGTGCTGTTTGCGCAACTCTATAAATTTGCTAGAAGTCATTGGCTTGTACACTTAAAACGGGTGAATTTTATGATATATAAATTATAGCTTGATAAAGTCGTTAGAAGAAAAGGAGAGAGAGAGAGAAAACGATGAAACCGGGGTGGCAAGAGTGGAAAACCCGAACATTGCTGGGACCTGCAGTGTGGAGGAAGTGGGCTGGGCGGGTGCAGAAAGGACAAGAAAGAGGTTGTCAGCAGCGGGAGGAAAGGCACCGTGGAAGAACCATGAGGGAAAAGAACGTTTGCTCACACGGATCTGTAGGAGGCAGCAACGCTGTAGCCAGTGAGTACACACAGCAGGGGCTGGAGGCCCCGTTCCACCCCGAGCAGATGAGCTCTGGCCAGCATGTGGAGGCTTAGAGGCTGGCTTGGTTCTCCCTGGCCAGAGGACAATGACTGCCTCCTGTGGAGGAAAGCCTTGAAGTGAAAAAGAAACTTTTATCTAAGTAGCGTAGTCGTGATCAATTACTCTTAACTGAACGACTCCGCACGTCTGCCTGTGTCTTCCTCTGTCTTGTGACATCTGGCCATTCACAGATAATCCTTTCTGTCTGAAAGTTGCGATCAGGGGACCCAAGTCTAGTTTGATTCTAAAGAAGAAAAGCCTGAATCTGTTGTAGCTGTGGACAGGCCATATTCCCCATGATGGGGTCTACGTGCCTCACTTAGGATGGACCAGCAAGGAGGGCTGGTGGTTGGTTGGGTGTGGGAGGAGGAGAGCCCAGTGGAGAACCCCCAAATCCTGTTCTGGGGTGCTTGGGCATGCTGGATGGACAGCCCGAGAACCTCCTGCCCCACCCTTGGCACTCGGGAACGTGCCTCTGAGAGGTACCTTCCATTCCACCTTGATAAGCAGCTATTTGCAATTCCTCCACAGCTATCGTGTTTTGGGCCCTACCTTAGGCCTGTGGGGAATGGTAAGAGCAATCAGACAGGAGTGCTGTGTTCAAGATGCTTACTGTCCAGTGGAGAGAGGATGCCTGTGTACACCAGTGCAGAATAAAGCAGAAAGAGGTAAACACCACATGAAGGTGCAGAAAAAATGCAGGGAGGGCTCAGAGGAAGGAGAAAGTACACCAGGCTGGGGAGACTGGGAGGGCTTCACAACTGGTTTAAGTTGGCTTTGAAGGCAGGGAAGGACTCAAGGTTGTGGGTGTGGGGGTGCGGTGCCAGGAGGAGAAGACGTCTGGGGCAGAGGAGATGGTGGAGGGATGCGTCAGCAGGACAGGCCCGTCCCGCTTGGGTGAGAGGGGCAGGGAAGGAGGTAAAGATGATGAGGACTTTCAGAGGCCAAAGAGTTCATTGAAAATGGGGAGCCATTGCAGGTTTCTAACAGGACAGCGTCAAAGTCAAAGACCTCTTTAGGGTAATTATGATGGGATTAGTGAGCAGGATGAGAGGACGCAGGAGAAAGGCAGGGGTGATTGCGTGAGAGGCACTTCTGCACACCTGCCTCATGCGCCTTCATCAGGTTTCTCCAGGAGCCTTGGCAAGGTTGCAGCCACGATTCGCCCCCCTCTCCCTCACTCCTGGTGTCTCCACAGAGGACACAGTCCATAGATGAGTTCCTGGCTTGAGCCTGTGTAACCCCCGGCAAAGCAAAGCCCAGGCCTGGAATTCTCAACTGAAAACCAGGGCGCTAACACTGCTATCTCGTTAAAGCAGAAGCAAGCGTTAGGGAAATGCGGCTTCCAGGTGGCAAGAGAATAGGCGCTTAGAATAGAAGGAGTCTTGTTCTTTGGTGGAAGCATTAGGGAGGCACAGCGGCTGCACTGCACTGAGTCAGGGCTGCCAGCCCACCTTTCTCCACCTGGTCATCATACCCTAATCTGTCATTCACAGCCCGAGGGGCCAGGCCGGGCACTGACTTCAATGCTGAGCTGTATCAGGAGGCCTGAGGTGCCTGAGCAAGCAGATGGCATGCATGTGCCTGTGGGGTGTGGGGAGAGGGGGACAGACTCCCTGTGGTCTCCTAAGTGGGCCCTTCCAGGGAAGCTGCCTATGGCATCTCCTGCCCCTCTCTGCACCTTCCTTCCTTATTACTGAGAGATCAGAGCTGCGAAGTTCTCTAACAGCCACTGGGCCTCTTAGCATGGATGGGATGATGCAAGCTGGGGCTGGAATGGCTCCTAAATAGAAGAGTTTCTAAAGTGCTCTGCAAGGCGATGGCAGTGGCAGCTGCTGTATAAAAGAGTTTGATTGACACTGGGAATTGCATATATTTTGAGTCAGGAATGCTTATAACAATCAGATGCGATCAGATGGTGACATGAAAACATGCCATGCTGCCTCTGTTGGCCCAGGGGCCACACTGCCAACCTCTTCCCAAGGCTCCAGACTCTGGAGGCCGCAGGGCAGGGACAGATGGGATGAAGGTGGCCATGGCAGGGTGGGGGGGTACCGCGGGAAAAGTGAAGTAGAGGCAGGCTGGGGAGGGGCCTGGGGGTGGCAGGGATCGGGTAGGGAGGGTGCAGTAGGACCAATCTAGGCATTGCTTTTCTGTGGGGGTGCTGGCCAGCAGACCAGGCAGGCACCAGGGCCACCCAGGTTCAGGCTTCTCTACTGTGGATGGCACCTGGCTGTGTTTCTTTTCCTGACCCTTAGGTGAAGAACAGGTTGTTCCTGGCTCTGCTCACCCTCTCCCTGCTGGAGATGGGAAAGGCTTCCTCAAGTCACTCAGAGCTTTTCTGGTCCAACCACTCCTTCCTGTTGAGGCCCCCAAAAGTACAAGTACGAAGGCACTCTCCAGAGTCATCTGTGACCTCAGGTTTTGAGTTCTACCACTTACCAGGTGGGCACTCTGGGTGTGAGGGAAAGTTCTGGCATGTACAGGTAGACACTCTGGGTCTGAGGGAAAGTTCTGGCATGTACAGGTAGACACTCTGGGTCTGAAAGTTCTGGCATGTACCAGGTGGACATTCTGGGTCTGAGGGAAAGTTCTGGCACATACCAGGTGGACACTGTGGGTCTGAGAGAAAGTTCTGGCATGTACCAGGTAGACACTGTCGGTAGAAGGAAAAGTTCTGGCATGTACCAGGAGGACACTCTGGGTCAGGGGGAAGGCAAGGTCCCTGACACATTACTGCAAAGACTTCAGGGGCCAGGTGGTTCTAATGAACATGTAGGGCACTCCACTGCCCCTACCTCAAAGCCTCAGCCCTGGTGGGGAAAGGATATTGAGTCCCTAAGGCCAGAAGAGCCATCTTCTTCCTCTCTGTGGGCAGCCTGGTCAAGGAGAAGGGAAGGGTCGGCTCTCTGGGGTTCCTCCCGCTCTCTCTCCAATCTGTGTATTGAAGACTGTGGCCCGGGAGCCTCCTCTCTGCCTGAGTCCTTAGCAGTGGAGATTTGTTCCCTGCCCCGTGATAGTTCATACCTGCTCAGCTCTTTCTGTTTCTCTAAAGAAGACACTTCTGATTGCATGGGTTGTTGTTGCTTTTTCTCTTTTTTCCAGCTGGTGGTTTGGAGCTTGTGGTTAAGACAGACTTGGCTAGAGATCTTGGTTGCAGGCTTTGCATAGAGAGCACGTCCACCCTGATTCGTCTTGTTCAGCTCCACAGAGAGGCCTTTTGAAAATCGGCCCAGTAAAGATCTGGGAGGTGGCCATTTGGGCAGTGGGCCAGGTTTAGAGGGACAGCTTTGGAACTGGGTGCCTCTCAGCCTCACTGGGACGATCTCTGCCTGGTAAATGAGGATGCTGCTCACG